CAAAGATAATCTCTTGTTATTTATTTATTTATTTATTTATTTAAAAGATTTTATTTATTTATTTCAGAGAGAGAGAATGAGAGAGAGCACATGAGAGGGGGGAGGGGCAGAGGGAGAAGCAGACTCCCTGCCGAGCAGGGAGCCCGATGCGGGACTCGATCCCGGGACTCCAGGATCATGACCTGAGCCGAAGGCAGTCGCTTAACCAACTGAGCCACCCAGGCGCCCCATCTTGTTATTTATTTTTTATTTTATTTTATTTTTTTATTTTTTTTTTAAAGATTTTATTTATTTATTTGACAGAGAGAGACACAGCGAGAGAGGGAACACAAGTAGGGGGAGTGGGAGAGGGAGAAGCAGGCTTCCCGTGGAGCAGGGAGCCCGATGCGGGGCTCGATCCCAGGACCCTGGGATCATGACCTGAGCCGAAGGCAGACGCTTAACCGACTGAGCCACCCAGGCGCCCCCTTTTTTTTTTTAAAGATTTTATTTATTTATTTGACAGAGAGAGACACAGCGAGAGAGGGAACTATTTATTTTTTAGACACCAGCATACCTTAGATGGTGTAAGGCATATTATAAAACTTCCATAAATACTTATAAAGAACTCAAAAAATTGTATATTTAGAGCAACACTTTTTGTTGTTTAGACATTTGGTCCAATGGTTTCCTTAACTCCTTATTTTCCATGATTTTTATCATAGGCAAATCCTTCTTTCACTCTAGCAAGAAGTAGGTTTTCTTTTAAGTAAACAAATTAATACATAAATAAATATAAATTTTTTAAAAGATTTTTATTTATTTATTTGAAAGGGAGAGAGAGAGAATGCAAGAGCAGGGAGAGGGAGAAGCAGACTCTCCACTGAGCAGGGAGCCCTGACACCGGGCTCAATTCCCGAACTCTGGGATCATGACCTGAGCCGAAGGCAGTCGCTTAACCAACTGAGCCACCCAGGTGCCCCATCTTGTTATTTATTTTTTAGACACCAGCATACCTAAGACGGTGTAAGGCATATTATAAAACTTCCATAAATACTTATAAAGAACTCAAAAAATTGTATATTTAGAGCAACACTTTTTGTTGTTTAGACATTTGGTCCAATGGTTTCCTTAACTCCTTATTTTCCATGATTTTTATCATAGGCAAATCCTTCTTTCACTCTAGCAAGAAGTAGGTTTTCTTTTAAGTAAACAAATTAATACATAAATAAATATAAATTTTTTAAAAAGATTTTTATTTATTTATTTGAAAGGGAGAGAGAGAGAGTGCAAGAGCAGGGAGAGGGAGAAGCAGACTCTCCACTGAGCAGGGAGCCCTGACACCAGGCTCAATTCCCGAACTCTGGGATCATGACCTGAGCCGAAGGCAGATGCTTTAACCAACAGAGCCAACCAGGTGCCCCAATAAATATAAATTTTTAATAAATTTATATATTTGATATTTGTATATTGCTGTATTTATTCATGTATTGATGTATTTATTCCCTCTGAAAACATATTTGGCCATAATCACAAAAGAAGACCATTGCCAGAGACCACACTCTGTGTGTTGAACATTTCTTTGGCAAGACTTTCTGAGCTATGCTCTCCCCAGAAGGAGGAAGCACAGACTGGCTGAAATGCTGAGCTGACACCTGTAATGATGATCTCTTTTGCACTTGAAAGGCAGGTTGAACTGCGAAAACACGTATCTTCAACCAGAACAGCGGAGGCTACAAGAAGCAGTAGAGAATGGGCTGCAGCCCAACTTCAGCTAACGAGGTTTGAAGGGAGGATTTCAAAAGTAATCTGGACAACTTGCCCTGTACCTCAGTCCAGTGTTTAAACACCCCTGGTGTGTAAGATGTGAATGTCTGAAACATCAAAAGGCTCACATTTAAATTTCATTGCCAAGAAAGCACCCTGAAGGCTCATACAAATATCATGTTTAGGTATCTGCATTATCTGTGCCTCTGCTTCTCGCCATTCCATAGTTAATGAAGAGCAAACAGAAGTAATATTTCTGCCTGTATTCACCTAAACACTGCCCCTCCCTTTGCATTATTTATTATCATTCAAAGTGACGTGATGCCACCAATCTTATGGCTCCATATAGCCTGACCAGCCCCCTGGGAAATAGCGCTCGGGCTGAAGTCTGCCCAAACTAGGCTAGTCTTAATAATCTACCATTGGCAAGTCATTCATTGTAGATATCAACCAAGACAAACAAATCAGCAGAGACTGAAGCAGAAATAGGCACGCTTGGTGGAAACTCAAAGTGGAAAGGAAAGAGGAAAAGCATCTGCTGGAATTGTTGGAGGGAAACACCAAATATGCAAGAATGACATGCACCAGGTAGAACAATTCAAGTTGAACAGGAAGAAGAATGTCAGAGACTCCCAGAGGAAGCAGAGCTGGAGTCACCAGTCAGGAGGAAAGAGAAAAGAATGCTTAGAGTCTTGAGAGAAAACATGACTCAGTGATGACCTTGGACTCAAATCCCTTAGCGTGTCCACAGCTCAACATCCTCCTTTGTACTCCCTCCTGGGGAGCCATACTGCAACATTCCGATGTCTAAGTGTCTAGGAATTGAAGTATATGCCCGTACATTTTTAACGACATCGGTGCTCTATCCAAACTCTAAATTTAACATAGCATCCTTAAAGTCGCACCCCTTGTGTTTTATTTCACTCATTTCTTCATGGAAAAAAAATTCATTTGGAACCCAACTAGCAAGCATAAAATAAAATGAATGTGGTGAAAGTTGACAGTCGACCTCTAGGTATGTGTCGATAGGTGGTGAAAGGGATTGTCTGATTTGTTAACACCGCATTTTGGGATCAGGCCCTCCATAAATACTCTTCTCACACCTCAGAAAGAACAAGAGCAGAATATATTTAAACTGGGCTCACTAGATGAGTCCAAAGCCTGGTCAAGAGACCCGAAGCCTTGAAACCGTAAGTTCTCAGTATATGAGTAAAGTGACACTTCCATTTATTCCAACCCTGCAGTCTGTTATTTAAAGAAACCACATTCTTATCTCTTCTTGGTTTTACTTGTTTGTTTTGTTTTGTTTTATTTCAATTTACTGAATTTCCTTAACATCTGGCAAATGTCTGTATGGTAGAGGGGAGAGGGAAGGCGACGGAACAGGAAGAAGGAAATAAACTTGGGATGGGTAGGAGGGAGTTCCAGAAATATTTTCCATGCAAGTTTCCATACCAAGGCAATGGTAATGAGAGTTTGCTACATGCCAGGCATTGGGTGAGGCATACAAGGCACCATGCTAGATGGACATCAAAGAGAGAGCAAAGAAACACAACAGCTTGGCAGACACACTGACTTAAAAACCCATTTGCACAGGCTTGAGAGAGCCTGTTGTCTCCTGGGGAGGCTTTGGCATGGCCAGAAGAAAACATCAAAGACACTCCAGACTTCAAATCCCTTCCAAGGGTGCGATCAGCAGGACAGGAAATGGGCAAGTCATCCTGGAAGGAATTTGGAAGCGAAGGGGCTTATTCAAGGACACCCCTGGTCCTGCAAAGGAGCGCTCACCATGTGTATGGTCAACACACGTGATATGGTGAACAGCTTGGCACCCAGTCAGTAGCAAGCCTTGCCCTAGCCCCCCACCAAGAAGCTTCAGGGAATAAGGCAACAGAAGAAAAGATAATTCAATAAGAGCGTTTTGTCATCTCCATGGTCAACTTCATATTTTGAAAGGATCCCATGATACAAGAAAGCCTGCATTCTAAAACAAGAGAAGCGTAAATAAATATTCAAAGATAGAAGCCCACAGGGATGGGAGAAGAGCAAACTTAACCAAGAGAAAACAAACAAGTGGGATTTGCCTGAAATCATATCTAGTATGCTAGACTAAAACTCCTGGTAACCCAGCAGGGTTGCTTCATGCTTATAGTATCTCAGTAGGACTGAGGAACCAAAAATTGCCAACAAACACAAGGAAAGGCCTTTAATTCCATGTTGCTGGGAAATAATGACAGACTATGAAATCTGCCCATGTATAGAGTCCAAACGAGACTGAAATTTCACCTGTAGCCTGTCACTGCAGTCGGAGGGTAAAAATGAACTTGGCCAAGCTTTTTTTTTCAAAACACAGAGTTCCTACAAAAGCAAGGGGTAGGAGCTTCCTTGAAGAGGTGGGAATGTTCATTCAAGCAAACGTATGGGATACACGCATATATACAGATTGTATGTATTGCTGCATACATACATACATATTTATATATTTTAAAATAGATTAAAATATAAATATACATTTTAAAAATATCTTTTAAGTTGAACAAAGCTGAGATTTTAGAGTAAGGCCTCAGAAAATGGGGAATTTTTAGATGAGCCCCCAAGCCCAGTAACCTTTCCTTCTGTATGCCTAGTAAGCCACAACCCATGGGTGCAGTCTGGCGGCCTTGTAGCATAATGGTCATGCTTGGAATTTCTGGAGTGAAAGCTTCAGGCCGTACATACCAGCTTCACTACTAATTATCAGTGTGACTTAGAAAAGTTCCTAATCCAGAAAACATGGGCATAATATCAGTACTTACCTTACATGGCTATTGTGGGGATTAAGCAAGATGATAGATGTAAAGCATTAGACTGGACTCTAGCACATGTTAGGGACTCAATAAATATTCACTATTAATATCACAACTCTGTTATAAGCTCTGCATCCCATATCCCTTGGTAGCGTCCACGGCAACCAACAGAGCAAAGAGTAACCAGTAGTATTTAACATGTGCCTCTTGCTCAACTTAGAAATTAGAGTTCCGTAACTTGTTTGATTCCCTAAACCCCACAATATAAACAGACATATAAAACAGAAAATTTCTTTTCTTTGTTCTATGTGGTCATTTCCATCAGCTACTAAACAAATGCTTTTTTTTCCCCAGTGTACCACTAATTTTCTGTTTAATTTCATCTTCTTAGGACAGAGTAAATGCCTATTCCTTGTCATCAGTATTAAATCCCATAAGTAATTCTAGATGTAAGTACCATACTAGTACCTTAAAACAATGTTCCTCAAGATTTCTCCAAGGAGCAGATTGTCCAGTGTGAATAGGTACTCCTATTAAAAAAAAAAAAGAATTCTGTATTAATTTGAAAAATGTGGATTAAACAATGGTAACCAGGCATGCAGGATTTATCAGAGTTTTAAATATGCTAATATGTGCTAGGATCTCCAGGAGATGAATATAAAATCCCATGTTTCCCCAAATCACTTGTCCACACAGCTCATTTTTCATGGAATTACCTCTTTCACAGTACTATGATCCTCAGATAGAACTAACACTTTGGGATACCCTATCTTAGAGGGATGACTTGAAATCTTAGGATTTTATCCTGGAAAGTGGGGTCACGATCTCATGAGAACACAATCACTTTTGTACACAAATGGTCTGCATATAAAGCAATGGTGGCTATAAAATGTCAGTGCCCTGAGCCCTAGGGTTGATCCTGATGATTTTGCTGGTTGGGAAGGTATCTCCTCTTTCTAATACTGCTCCCTATATAGGCTCCTCCCACCTCTATAAGCTCAGAAAAGCCAAATTCTTCAAAAGATGAATATAGTACTATTTTCAGTCAATACCAACATTTGTTTTAGAAATGTGTTATGCTAAACATGTCATCAGTGAATACAATGAAAGATAACAAAATCTACATTTGTATCATACTTTCCATGGTCATTTTTTTTACTTTTTAAAAATTTTTAAATTTTATTTTATTATGTTATGTTAGTCACCATACAGTACGTCATTAGTTTGGGGTTTTTCTTGATTTTTTGAAATCCTTTCTCTATTCCTGGAATCCCTGTAAAGATATTTCTATATATTTATTCTCAAGTAGCATGAAAACATTTTGGAATTCTTTGCTAACTTAGTTTTATGATATTTTATAATTTTAGCAGATTTGGAAGTTATATAGATGCAAACATAATGCAAGATAGGCAAAATATACAGCCACTCATCTGGGGGATGAATAAAAAGAGAAAAATCCCTTTCAATATTATCAGTTTCCATAATGTCTTATTAGTTCCCTAGAAATTTAATTTTGAAGCTGTGTCATACTTCCAAGATTTGATCTGAAGTAAAAGAGTCAATTTCAGTAAAATACCAAAAAGACGTTTTCACGTTTTCAATTTCATTAGACTGCATATTGGTATAAGACATACATGGATCCATGTCTCAATCTACTACTCTGTAACACTGGAGTTGAAATATTAAGCAAACAGTATTTCAGGTAAGAAACTTACCAGCAATTTGCTTTTACCTTGTGAAAAAAGTAAAATAGTAGTTTCATACCCAAACACTGGTAAACAGACTATGGAATAATTTGAGTTTTAGGGCTATGAATATTCTGATTTTTATATTCATGCATTCCTTCAGGCATAAATTAAGTAGGCCACAGGGCAGTTGGAGGGTGACCACAGCCTGACAAACCTTACGGTTCAGCAGATGTGGTTGTAAGATATGGCTTCACTGAAAAATATTCACCACTAAGGAATTTTAGGACTCCACTCTGAGGTTTGATTTAAAAACTTGGAATTGCCAATAGAAAACAAGTGGGTGGTACCATCATATGGGTCTTGGGACACAGAAATATTTAGTTGCCTCAAGTAAGCAATAATATGAATCAAATTGCAATCTTCTACAAATGTGCAAGTCATGAGCTAAGAAAGTTTTTCTGCACACGCAATGTCTTTATTCAGTTTCTTTTTGTTGACTTCCAGATACCTGGGGGCTTTTCTTGGTGTATATATTAGAAACCCTCATGTGGGTCATTCCCTTTGAAAGATCGGCTCAATATTTGAGTAAATTATTTGAACAGCATATTCTTTGATTTGGAAATAACATGAATTCTCAACTAAATGTATAATTATTGAAATGTTCCAAGATTTTAAAGGAAATATCACATTCACAGTCACTTCCTGGGCTGTGGAGCTGAACACCATCATTTAAAATATACATTGAGAAATTCCATTTAAAATCATGAAATGCACAGGAATCAAGTAAGTACCTAGATGTGTGGGAGAATAGGGACCAAGGAGCTTCAGAAACAATCCCCTAATGTCAACCTCATGCTTCAAAGTCTTGGGTTAATAAAAATTGAGTAAGACCAGCAGTACTACTTTGATCTAGATCAAAACTTCCCACGCTAATTCCTTGGCTGTAAGAGGAAAGTGAATTTCCAGATTTCTCGTTGTAAAGAAAAAAAATCTGAAAGATGCTGACATAATTCTTCAATGGTTCTAAAACTTGTGGTTAAATTTATGAAACTCCTTGAGTTACAATCTAACAGTTACAGAAAGCAGGAGTGGTGGTGGGCGGGGGGGGGGGCTGGTGAAATTAACATGTCCAAAAGTTACAAAGGAAACCTCTAAGATAAGGCAGAATTGCACTATCTTTTCCTTAATGGGTTCTGGTTCCCCACCTGGGGGATAATTCCTTCTGCAAGAAATACTTAGTTCACAAAACTCTTGATTTGTTCCAGTTTCTCGCTTACCTTCCCACTGAATATTCAGAGTATCACTTACTTTTATTAGTCTGAATGAACTCTTTGGTTGCCCAATCACGACAATATTCATTTTAAAATATTCTTGTTTACTTGCTGTGCCCTTGAAAATGACCATATAGAACACCACCACACTCACTCATACAGACGAATGAAGACCAAGCAAAAGAAAAGTCGTGTTCCCATTGCCTAAGAAGTTGGCAGTGTTCCTCACTGGACTGTAAGTTCTGTGAGGGGAGGGATATTAAGTGCTTGTTCTTCAGGGTGTCATCTCCACTAGCACGGTGGTTTGCACATAATACAACTTCATAAATATTTCAGTTTGGTTCATTACGTCTGGGGTTATCAGCGCCTGTGCACTGGGTTTCCTCTACTTATTATCAATTACACTTCACAGTGACTTTTCTAGTTAGGCAGTATTACCCTCATTTCATCAAGTGCAAGGTCACATAGCAAGAAAGCAAAACAACTGAGATTAGAACCCAAGCTTTCTTATTCCAAGTTTATTACTCCCACCCACATCAGATACCTGAAACAGTATTCAGCAGACAGAAGCAGTTTCAAAATCTTTTCTCATCCCAGCAAATAAAGGATAGTATTTGATTCTTCTCATTTCTACCTGAATATCTGATATAGGAATCCTTCCTTAAGAGTGTTGAGATCACTATTTCTTTCAATTTTGAAGGAGCAGAAAAGTCTTCAGTTAATTAACTAGAGAAAAAGCTTCCCGATTCCCATTTCAATATTTTCCTAATCACATTTGTTTGGAACACAGGCACTGAATTTGGAAACTGAAGCCCATTTCCTGTCTAAAATGGTTTTCATTCATTGAATGTGAACACTTGTTTTTTATTGCAAAGTTGTTTACAAAGCCGAGCTGCTGGAATTCATTTCTTTTAATGAACAAAAGAGTGATGGAATATTTAGCTGGAAGGAATTCACAGAGAGTTGCGTGCAACTGGCAAAGAGTTTTAAGGAAAAGTTTTCAGTTCTAATGGAGGTTCCTCAATCCAAATTGGAGGAACATTCAGGTAAAATTCTCCTAATGAAAGAACTGAATAAATGAGAAAAGAAAGTTTGATAACATCTTCAAACTAAACAGAGATGGTTCTCATCCAAAAGAATCATGCATTCGGGAAATATTAATAAACATCGAATCCTTGCTACACGCCAGGCATCAGGATCCAAAGTTCACCAGGACTTTGTGATTTGTACCCATAAAAGATAACCAACAATTTTATGTTTTTGCAAAAAGTGCCAAAAGACTACTGCTCCTAAAATAAAATTCATCATTTGAAAGTGAATAATTCAGTGGTTTGGGGTATATTTATAGAGTTGTGCAATCATCATCACTATCTAATTCCAGAACATTTTCATCACCCCAGTAAGAAACTCTGTACCCAGTAGCAGTCACTCGCCATTCCCTCCTCCTCCCAGCCCTTGAAATCTCTATGGATTTGCCTATTCTGGACATTTCATATAAACGGGATCATGCAATATGTGGTCTTTTGTGATTAACTCCTTTCACTTAGCATAATGTTTTTGAGGTTCATCTACATTGTAGCATGATTCACTTCATTCCTCTTTAGCTGAATCATATTCCATTGTATGGATAAACCATAGTTTGTCCATCGATTCCTTAGTTGATGGACTTTTGAGTTGTTTGCACCTTTTGGCTATTATGGGATAACTTTGCATTGAACATTCATGTACATGTTTTCTCAAAAACGTGTTCCTTTGATATGGTCAACTTAGAAGCAAAGAAAAATAAGACTCAGAAAGGTGCCTACCACTGTGCCAAAGACAGCACACGTATCAGTAGTTTGTTCCCTTTATTCCTGAATAGTATTTTACTATATGAAGACACCACGGTTTATTCATTTACCAGTTGTAGGATGTTTGGGTTGTTTCTAGTTTTGGGTAATTATGAATAAAGCCACTATAAATGTTCACATACAGATTTTAGAGTGAATATAAATTTTAATTTCTCTTGGGTAAATATCTGGGAGTAGGACTGCTGCATCATATAATTCTGTTTAACTTTACAAGAAATTGCTACACTCTTTTCAAGGACACCTGACCATTTTGCATTTCCACCAGCAATGTATCAGTTCCCATTGCTCTAAATCCTTGCCAACACTTGATATTGCTAGATATTATTTGTTTCTTTAGTTTTTAACCATTCTGACACATGTACATTGATATCTCACTGTGATCCCTTTAAGTTTTGATGTTCAAAATTATCCTAGGTGGGTTTTTTTACATTGTTTTTTACCTGGAAAGTAACCTGATACTGTTTTCTTTTTCTTTTTTTTTTTTTTTTATAGATTTTATTTACTTATTTGAGACAGAGAGAGAGCACGGGCAAGTGGGGGGGCAGGGAGGGGCAGAAGGAGAGGGAGAAGCAGACTCCCCGCTGAGCAGGGAGCCTGACGTGGGGCTCGATCCCAGGACCCTGGGATCAGGACCTGAGCCGAAGGCAGATGCTTAACCGACTGAGCCACCCAGGCGCCCCCATTATTGTTGTTTTCTAGCATTTTAAAAAACTTGCACAGA